AAAGGTACAGCCTTTAAATCTGAATGGGGGGTGGTCACAATGAAAGTGTAAACCCTAGCCTGTAGTGCAGGGGTTATTTTTGAATGGGATGGTTGATAAAACCAGGTTTTCGATGCCACCATCTTGGATTGTAATTGGATGCCTCACCGGTAGAGGGTTTGGGTAGTGTGGGGTGGGGCACTTTATTTTTCCCTCCTACACCGTTCTCCTTGCTCCTACCCTAGGTGCCAGGGGATTTTCTTCTGCGGTTTCCAGTGTCAGTCATGTCTCTGGAGCGAAGCGAGGTATTTCCATCTGCTGCGTGCAAGAGAAAACCTCTGGTACCCAGGGTACCTCACTCTCACTCCCTTGACAAATCGCCCCAACCCCCCACAGTAACCAAATCCAAGATGGCGACCCTATACGGAAATGTACACTTGCATGCTCAAAATACACCTGCACTGCAGGCTATATTTGTAAACAAATACAGACTTCCATTTATTTTTTTAAAGTGTGGTTTAATGTTTCTGAAGTCATTTCTGATTATATCCACATTTAATGTATGATGAACATGTTTATGTTGATTGACATGTTTGTGAGGTGTCTTGCGATATTGTTACAGGTGCAAACTGATGCTCAACAGATTGGACCTACTCAGTTTGTTTTCAACTTAACTGATGTTGAAAGTATCCATCATGTGGTAGTGTTCTTGACTGGTGTGACCCCATTCCCAGATGGGATGGGTGGGGGAGTTTACTACTGTTATCCAACCCCCGACGGACCAAAGTCACAGCTACTAGGATTCATAGCAAACAGCAAACCAAGTGCTATATTTAAACTTGCAAAGGTATGTGATGGTGTACATGAAATGGGTCGCATAAAGTATAACCTTAGACAATGGGGTTTCTTTAATTTTTGGGAGAAACATTCCTTGTTGTCATGGCAACATCACAGGCACATTTTTACAAAGCGCAGAGTTCTTTCCCCACGCCATTTGCACTTTGACAAAGTAGCTCAAAAGAAATTTCTGTCCAACAGTGTACAGAGTATGTTGCCTTTTTCTGTTAGTGGCGAAACTGTAGGCCACAAGTCCAGTCTAACTCCTCTTTGACAAAACTTCAGCAAGACACATAATTCCTCACAAATGAGGTAGGGTTCATTTCTGTCTCTGTCTCCTGCCTGGTGTATCTTTTTGTTTTCATCTGCCTGCAGGTGATCAACTATTAATTCCTTGTATACTGTATCTACATGTATCCCCCTCTATCAACTTGAATATTTTGAAGTTGATGTGGGCCTATCCGTTGGTAGTTGACTGTCCATTTAATAAGATTGAACAGATACAAGAAGTTAATTTCAAACAGTCTGTACATAGTAAAGACATCATGGTCTGTCAGCTCAGACACCAAAACAGTTGCTTCTTGGTAAACTCAGGNAGACTTTGATCTTACCTTTGACTTCCTTTCTCAGCTCGTCACGTTCCTCTTTGAGCACCTTTTCTCTTTGGCGCAACTCATGGATTACCTTAACTTTCTAAAAGTCCTTTCTTTTCTTGGTTATAACATAGCAGCCGTTATTTCACCAACAGATTACAGAGGTTTACATGTGGTCCATAGAAACCAAACGACGACATCAACGAAGTTGGTGATCCAGACTCACACAGTGAAGGAAACAGGTAACTGTCCAATTTCTCGCGCTCTGATTATCTCATTTTTGGCTCATTTTTATTATCAATAAGAGTGCAGACAGATAAAATTTTAAATTTATGCAAGCTTTCAAGTTCAACTTTCAGCTTTCATACTGTCAACTTTTTAACCAATGAGATTTCATGGACCTTTTTACGTAGCCAATGAAAAAGCGAGAAAAGCTATCGACAATGTTCGCGACATTTTAAATAAAATACACTTATTTTTATCGATGGCAAGTTTACGGCGTCTTTTCCCCTCATTTGTTTCTGGTATTTGACGATTTTGGAGTCTTGTTGTAAAAAATGAAAACCACCGGGTTCAGGAACTTACTGATTTATTGAGACCTCCGCACCTATTCCCTGGTGTATGCTTTTATTTATTATTATTATTATTATTATTATTATTATTATTATTATTATTATTATTATTATTATTATTACTATTCTGTATTGGATGTTGGGGCACATCCTTCATGGCGCTTCAAAGGCTTTTTTTAATTCTACCCTCTCCGCGCTTCGCTCCAATTTTTGCTCCTAGTTAGTTGTAATTCATACTGGGAAATTTCTGATGTAATTTGTATTTTTATTAATTTATGATTTTCTGTTATGCGGAGTCAACTTCAATCAATCATTCAATCAATCAATCAATCAATCAATCAATCAATCAATCAATCAATCAATCAATCAATCAATCAATCAATCAAACATGACGTTAAATTTAGTGCCCAGATCTAACTCGACCATTCGCTTCTAGGTCCTGGCACGTGATCGAACGTTTTTATAGTTGACCGCTGGCGAAACGGTCGAACAAAAACAACAACAATCCTACTTCGAGTGGGAATTTGGTGTTCTTAGATATGTTTGGATGTATAGTGTCAGGACGCTTGGTAAGTATGTTCTTTACTGTCGGAGAATTTTAACTGTAATCGATAAACAAAAAGCTCATCACTAGATTTTGCCTGGAATAAAATTATAACATTAGAAGATGTTATTGGGAACTATACAGTGCATGAAAGCTTTTACGTCTACTTAAACCCTGTTAAACCGCTAAGCTTAAACTTATTTCAGATTTAGACTCTCCCCGATTTTATTTCAAAATCCATGATCTAGGTTTATTTGCACGGTGAGCAAGGGAATTATTCACCTGAAGAACATTAACACAGGAAACTTCTCAAAATTACTGGAATGCATAAGAATACAACAGTTTACATTGTGACATTTAGTATCACGATTACATTAGGGGGGGAGGGGGGCTGGGGCTTGGTAGATGTTAGAACTCCTATCGTATGGGTAGTGTTGCTGTTTATTTGTACTGCCTAAATCATCCTGATCATGTGTAAAATTATTTTACTGTTGAAGATTTTCTTGTCTGTTGTAAATCACATTATTTTTGGAAACTAGCTAGAGAGGGGCACTCATAAAGGTGGGGTGCTTATTTGGGACAATCTACTCATTTCATTTTCTACTCTGATATGTCTTAAGTGCCCTAATAACAATGTGACTGTGTTCAAAGTTGGCGTTATTGACTCTTAAGTCTTAAAAATCACTCTTGATACAAAACCTTACCAGAAGAGCAATTACACTGTGTAAGTGTTATTATCTGTCAGTGTAAAGTACACACTACGGACTGCAGACTGCAGACCTGGGATAAAATGGAGACTTAGGGTAAAATGCAGACTGCAGACCAGAGTTAAAATGCATACTACAGACCTTTTTAATGTATATTGTGTTATTTCCATTATATTTGAGTGCTAATCTTCAACAGGATTGTTCAGGCCAATTGGAGGGAAAGTCTGCACTACAGTTACATGTACCCTGCTGGTAGCCACCTCTGTTATGATGTTCAAAACTTTACATGGATTGATCCCTGAATATCTGCAATCTTGATTTGTATCTCTAAATGATATTACTTCGTATCAATGCAACTGAGGAATTCTGAGAATAAATTGGCTCTAAATCCACAGCCCTGCACCAATTGTTTAAGAGAAGTTTTTCCTAGAGGGGTGCTATGTTTTAGAACAGCCTTTCTCATGAAGTCCAATCCACAATTTCTTTAAACGAATTCAAACGCAAACTGCATCATGACAGCTTTGAATGAGAATGGCGTCCTTGAAAAGCAGCTTTAGTGATATGATTGGGTTTTATTCTCATAAATAACACTATGTTAATTATTAGTTACTTTAGTTAGGTCGACTTAGATATTATACTTTTAAATTGTGCTGATTAGGAATTTTTACCATGTGTAAATAAAGTTATCAACTCACAACTAGCCTGAATAACACTCTGGTTAGCATGTTTACAGTTAGCTCTCATATCTTAATGATGGAAATTGTAACACATTTCAGTTTAAAAGTCTGCAGTATGCATTTTACCCTTAGTTTGCATTATTATTAGCATTGGAAGATGGTAACATGTTTTAAAGTGCATGTCTTGGAAATTATTTTGAGGCATTTATTAGAAAAGGGATGAACTACAAAACAACACCTTTAAATGGGGAGGAAAATTATTGGTGCCAAATCAAATCAGTAGGGTAATTATGTATTTATAAACAGTATTCTGTTTAAGTCACATGCAGTGCTCGAAAAAAAAAAACCCCGTCCGCTCATCCAGGACAAGTACAATTTCCTCTTGGGCAAGTAACTTTCCCTCCTCACTTGCCCCACGGGCAAGAACCCAGGCAAGCTGTCCACCAACTACCGGTAAATGTTTGATAACGACTTTGTAACGACTAAATTTTTGACACATGGAAAGTGTTTAGATGGGTCTTGAGAAAAATTACAAGTCATAAGCGTTGTTTTGGTTATTGCATGGCACATGTTCACAGTTCAGAAGTGGTTACCTAGGATATGATAAAAATCTGCCCTGATCAAAGTTCTTTCCACAACTAAAAGTAACTGTGACCAGCACGAAAATGCTGTGTTTATTTCTTACAATTTGAGCAGTATTTTTCCGGGGGTTTTTTGTGAGCATTTACCAGTTTCACAGTAAAAGAACAAACTTGACATAGTTGTATCACTGACAGCTGTAGAAGCTGTACCTGGAAAGAAGTTGTATATTTCTACTGCAAAAACAAATCCCTCGCCAGCAACCAAAAATCTCCCTCACGATCTTCCGCGAAAGTTTCCTAACAGAAATATAATCTTGCTTAAGGCACTGCCATAGACTATTAAAACAAAATTGATTAGCATCATCACAAAATTTGACCAAAAATAGTTTTACATTCAAACGCAGATGTTTTCACTCAACTGAAACTATTTATCAACTACCTAAAAGAAAAAATATGAACTTGCCGGATTTACAAAATCAACACGGTGCCTGTTTCAGAACTGAAGAGGAGAAACAAAAATGTTATTTCTTTTACTAATTGTTTTTAATTTTATGCGCTTCCGGCTTCAAAATGATTTTTTTGGAGTTACTTAGGCAAGATGCCGTTTAATGTTCAAGGAGTTGCACACAACCCAGTTACACAGATTGAAAACATTGATTCAAGGATTTTTTAAGATACCCAGCCCATAATTCAGGAAACGGCAAATGAAACAGATCAAAACTAAGAAGATTGCAAGCAAGTCAGAGAAGTTATTACATTCGAACACCCCAGTGAATAACTTCCATTTCTGGTTTCATGAATTATTAATGAGTTTGAAAACTTGGGCAAGTGAGGAAGTGCCCCAGGCAAGCAATATTTGAGAATTACTTGCCCATGGGGCAAGCTGGAATTCAAATATTTTTCGAGCCCTGACATGGGGCCCTGAGTCCCACAACTACTCAGAAACAGACTACAAGGATTTGGTTAGAACCATATCTCTAGAAAAGACAGGGAATAAAATACAACTACAGTGATAAGCAGCTACTTAAGTACAAACCACATCAAATGCTGTCTGCATGTTGTTTACTGAATGTGCTGGAACCTTACAGAGTTTAGGGTTGCACTGAACTAAATAAATTTTGTACAAATGGTACTCCTTGCAGAGGCCTGGTTCAATATGAAGAATTTATTCTGGAAGAAAAAGAGGGTCTTACATATTTACATTTTTAAAGTCAATAGTGTAAAATCCCATTAATAAGCCCAGGGCTTTGGGTAAATTTGTGTAAAGAGTGAAGGATTCAGATAGACTTAAACATGGATTATTTTCTTGTGGAATCATTATGGTGATTATGGTACTCTCTCATGTTCTCATTTAAGTTATTATTTTTTACTTGTTTTCATGAAGTACCTGAAGTTAACCTACTCACACCTGAATAACATTCCTTTCCTTTTGTTTTGGCAGTGACAGGTTTATCACCTATCAGCAATCAGGTGACCAGTTGAATTTCACAAAAACTATAAATTAAATTGCTTTGCTAATGACCTATGTAGCCTTCAAATTAAATCTCAGTTTTATTTCATTTCTGGCATGTGTTATGTTCAAAGGCAAAATCCTCTTGCACAAACAGAAGCTTTATCTCTCAGAGATAATTCATCTTGTCTTATATGAGTGGTTTTATGATGTACGCGTATATTATAGATTCAAAGGGGGTGAGGGGTACTGATCACGCATAATGCTGATTCTCTCTTTTTAATTACGTATCAGATGATTTTTTTTTTAACCAATCACACTTCACATAAAAAGAAGTAAGAATGCTGAGCTAATATTATAAGACTTCACCCTTTGTGGCCCTATATGTCTGTTATGAAAAATGGAAAGGAACCATACCAGTAACCTGCACAATCAACTCTGTATCAGGGCATTTGATTTTGAGATGTGGTTTTCAGAGTCATCGTGAAATTAGGGATCATGTCCTAACAGGTTTTCTCCCTTGCATCATACTGTTAGTCATTCATTATCTTTGCATTTGCTATAGCTCTAGCTTGATCACATAACTAACTCAATTAACTATATTTTGAGCAGTGTCAGGAAAGGTACAGCCTTTAAATCTGAATGGGGGGTGGTCACAATGAAAGTGTAAACCCTAGCCTGTAGTGCAGAGGTTATTTTTGAATGGGATGGTTGATAAAACCAGGTTTTCAATGTGCCATCTTGGATTGTAATTGGATGCCTCACTGGTAGAGGGTTTGGGTAGTGTGGGGTGGGGCACTTTATTTTTCCCTCCTACTCTGTTCTCCTCGCTTCTACCCTAGGTGCCAGGGGATTTTCTTCTGCGGTTTCCAGTGTCAGTCATGTCTCTGAAGTGAAGCGAGGTATTTCCATCGGCTGCGCGCAAGAGAAAACCTCTGGTACCCAGGGTACCTCACTCTCACTCCCTTGACAAATCGCCCCAACCCCCCATAGTAACCAAATCCAAGATGGTGACCCTATACGGAAATGTACACTTGCATGCTCAAAATACACCTGCACTGCAGGCTATATATGTAAACAAATACAGACTTCCATTTATTTTTTTAAAGTGTGGTTTAATGTTTCTGAAGTCATTTCTGATTATATCCACATTTAATGTATGATGAACATGTTTATGTTGATTGACATGTTTGTGAGGTGTCTTGCGATATTGTTACAGGTGCAAACTGATGCTCAACAGATTGGACCTACTCAGTTTGTTTTCAACTTAACTGATGTTGAAAGTATCCATCATGTGGTAGTGTTCTTGACTGGTGTGACCCCATTCCCAGATGGGATGGGTGGGGGAGTTTACTACTGTTATCCAACCCCCGACGGACCAAAGTCACAGCTACTAGGATTCATAGCAAACAGCAAACCAAGTGCTATATTTAAACTTGCAAAGGTATGTGATGGTGTACATGAAATGGGTCGCATAAAGTATAACCTTAGACAATGGGGTTTCTTTAATTTTTGGGAGAAACATTCCTTGTTGTCATGGCAACATCACAGGCACATTTTTACAAAGCGCAGAGTTCTTTCCCCACGCCATTTGCACTTTGACAAAGTAGCTCAAAAGAAATTTCTGTCCAACAGTGTACAGAGTATGTTGCCTTTTTCTGTTAGTGGCGAAACTGTAGGCCACAAGTCCAGTCTAACTCCTCTTTGACAAAACTTCAGCAAGACACATAATTCCTCACAAATGAGGTAGGGTTCATTTCTGTCTCTGTCTCCTGCCTGGTGTATCTTTTTGTTTTCATCTGCCTGCAGGTGATCAACTATTAATTCCTTGTATACTGTATCTACATGTATCCCCCTCTATCAACTTGAATATTTTGAAGTTGATGTGGGCCTATCCGTTGGTAGTTGACTGTCCATTTAATAAGATTGAACAGATACAAGAAGTTAATTTCAAACAGTCTGTACATAGTAAAGACATCATGGTCTGTCAGCTCAGACACCAAAACAGTTGCTTCTTGGTAAACTCAGGCGGTGACTTCGAACGAAAGTTCAGGAGCGAGTATTAAACGTAGAGTGAGACTGAGGAGAAAAAAAATCGACTGTTTTGAAGTCTAGCGTAAACTGAGGAAATATAATGGTCTTGATAAACCACAAAATTTTCACAGCCGACTATTTGACAGAAATGTGTAGCAATTGGTAAGGAGAATCGAATGTGTATCAGGGAATCACTGATTCAGAGTTAATCATTTAGGCACATAGCTTCACGTCGTTCTGGAAGACTTGGTCATAACTAATTTATCACTTTATACCAGGTCAAGCCAGAGGAAAGAGTTCAGAACCCATTTTCAATGGATGCTAGTACAGGGATTGACCAGGCAGGCGCTCAAATTGGTATCTCAGTTGAGCCCTTGGACCAGTTGGCCCAACAAACACCAGCAAGTCAATCAATACCATCCAGCTTGAACACTTTTGTGGAATACACGCAGAAAATGTTGGAGAATTTCTTCAATTTTGCATCTTCCTTTGCCATAACACAGACCCAAATGACACCAAATCCATCAGAGAGTTTTGTGCCACTGAGCGTGGTTCAACGGTGGTATGAGAACTATCAAAGAAAAATGGCAAACGACCCTAATTTCTGGAAAAATTGACGCAATGAAAATTGCTTCCGCTAACGTCAGCTGGGCAGTATTTCTACATTTTACGGCTCGTACAACGAGAGATATGCTAGAAAGGTACAAATAAACCTCAGCTTTTTTTTTGTTTGTTTTAGAAAAAACGAAAAACAGTGGCACTCCAGGAAAACAGCAAAAATCTTAGTGTGGAATCTATCTGCACTTGCTTCAGATTCTTGACAACTGTTGGATCATGTTCACTTTCGAGAGATGAATTGCTGCTCAGTTTATTCCAAAGACGCCAATGTTTATTTGTACTTTATGTACTGACTATTGAATAAACATAATTTACGTTGTCTTTTTTTTTAACTCAGAAAGGATGAATTTGTCTCACCGACATAAACTATATGTATCGATGAATAAGTAGTGAATTTTAGAATATCGATAATTGAATAAAGACATGGATGCGTATGACGGTATAACTACAATATGGCGATTGCGTAGCCACCAGTATTTAGCAAGTGTCAAACAGTTTATTTTAGTCTTGTCTTGCAATGATAGTTTTCGAAGGGTTGCATGAAGTGTTAAATAAAATAAACTAGACATTTGATGTGCTCTGTCACGCGGTACAAGATTAATTTCCGGGACTTCAGACGCCCTCGGAAAGAAAACGACTGATTTCACAGAGCTTTATCTTATTTCAGGGCAGTTGCAAGGAAATATGAAATGTATCCTCACGTTCAACAGAAGCAATTTGTCGAGTAGTAAAGTGTAACACTTTTAGTATAAATTAAAATAATTATATTCTGAATTTAATCGTTGGATTGTAATAAGGTATTGAGTTCCTCTCTCCGCTCACTTCAGCTTTTCGTTTTACCGCAAAACCCGCGTAAGATGAGGGACTGGTAACTGCTTGTTTTTATTTAAGAAATAGAAAACATATACGCGTTTCTATCGAGTTTTAGTATAAAGCATTAGCATTAGTATCACGAATGCCGTTCTCTGATTGGCTATGCTACTCACTGTCTATTCTGTGATAGATAATGAGTAGCCTAGCAGTGTGCGCTTGTTAACAAAATGACGGCCCCGTTTTCGAGGTGTCTGTGAAGAGGACAATATTCAAAAGGACAATATTCAAAAGTTTTGAACGAAGAGTAGATTTACACAAAAACAATCGAGTTATTCGCTCTCGATTTCTATGCTTGCGCCTTCGTCAACTATTACGCGAGAGAAATCGAGAGCGAATAATCTAATTGTTAAACAGAAACACGGTGCATGTTTTTTACTTCTCAAATAATTACGACTTGATGCGTACAAAATTTAAGTGTGTGGCCAACTGTTCCAGTAGTTCTAGACTTAAATTATTTGTTATAAAATAGGATGAACCACCCCCATGAGTAGCTAAAAGTTGACCGACCACTCCTTACCAATGGCTCAAAAATGAATGACCCACCCTCCCCCTCTCTCTGCTCTGGCCCACCCCCTCACCCCCAATACGTTTTGACCAGTCCCTTGTGCACCTGTTCTGTTGCCGGCCACTCAGGCTTTGGCATACTCACTAACACGGTCAAACTGTCAGTGAAACCGTGAACATCATAAGTTTGAAATCTTCATACAGGGAGACATTCGTAATGGCACTGGTTCTATTTTTATTTTCATAAACGTACATCTGTGCTGTGTTCAAAAGATATTCCACCAAAGGCGTAGTTATGCAATATGTAGTCTATTCAAAATGTCGAAATACAACTCTAGAAACGTCTTCAGTAAACTAAAAGCTCGGTCGAGCTGGGTCACATTGAAGGCTATGATACAGGCCATATCCAACGGAAAGCGTAGACGCAGGGTAACCAGGCCTTCATGTCACAATTAAGCAATCGATCATAATATTAATCTCGTGACCAGATTAGACTGTTGGCATTTCATCAAGATTTTGATTTTGTCCCAAAGAAACAAATTTATATTGGTGAGCAGATAACAAATCTAGTTGGTATTGGGATTAGCTCTAACGAAAAGCTGGCGCTCAAAACGTCTGTTTCTGGAGTCTGGGTAATTAATCTCACAGTCAAAGAGTGATGTGGTTTAATACCTGGTTCACACTAGCTAAACATGCTTAGTATAAAATCATGTTAAAAAATCTAATCGCGACAGTGACCAAAAACTGATCCAGTGAATTTTAACTAGACAAATTCTCACTTGTGCTAATAAAGCAACTTTTAATACAGCAAGTATTGCTAATCACTTGCACAAAAATGAATGTTAAGTGGGAAAAAAAAACTGACTTGCACCTGTAGCGGTAACATTACTATCTAACAAACTGAGCAGCCATGTGACTTAGCCTGTCACGCAATCAGTGCAGCGTCAGCATGGTGTGATACGTGACATCGTCATCAGCCATAAACACGAGATCACCAGGGAACTGTTTGTCTGTCGCTTTGTTCAGTTCACAAATGTACTGGTTATGTGACTGTTTTGACAAGTTAAATGATTGGCAGCTACAATTCCGCAGGCAGTACAAAGCGCATGTAAAGTCGTCCCGAACTGTAGTCTGGGTAATCTCGTGTCCCGTAAGTTTGAAGCTAGCTTGCCTAGTAAAGCTTGCATCGGCATCTGAAAAAAGTGGGAAAAACTGTCATCATGCTAACAGTTACAAGCGAACGAATAATAGTAAGAGTCAATTGATAACATTTTCTTGTCGAGCTGACAAATTGTCAGAATTGTCAAAATTGTCAGCACACCAGAATTTCTTCAAGCTTACTTAACTTTTCCTATTACCCCTCTTTAAACATCGTGAAATTACTTTTTACAAACAGAAGACCCACAAATGAGGAGATAAGAAGCTAGTCAATTGTTGTTTTTTTTTCATTTGGGGAATAAGGCCAAATTGGGGGATAAGCTCTCTTACTCGTCATCCTCTCTAGCTGGTTGCATGTTGAAAGAGAACAAGATGTTTACTGGAAAATGAATTATCGAACCTGTTAACTGTGCAAGAAAAACCAACGAGATAATCCGTTACACTTACACAAAGCACTGCACTCTGTTGATGAAGATACTATACTGACGTTGTTTCTAAGCATTGGGGCGATCACGTGTTCACACCAATACATGACATTTCCTCTGTTCAAGTCACAGCTGCGGTGGACTTTGTGTAAATCATCCTCAGTCAGGTATCTGTCCCATATGTTCAGGTTACTGAACCTTCCGCTCATGCGGTGAGTGATTTGGCCGATCGACTTAGTCCTCCTCGCACCAATTAGCAAGGTGCCGCCCCCTTTTAGGATTTTCTCTGCCGGTAACAAATACAGTACAGTTCATAATACACAAAGTGACTGGAAAGCTTATTTTCTCAAAGTCAACTTCTAAATGCTGGCAACATGGTGTTATCATTGTTTCAGTACGCGGAAATTTCTACACGTCCCCTAAAACTTCCGGCCCTATCCACATTTTTGCGATTAAAATTGAAGATGAATAATTGGCTTGCTGATTGATTGATTGATTGACGTATTGATTGATCCACTGATTGATTGATTGATTGTAAGCTACTGATCACTGACGTTCATTTAAACAGTCACGTATACCATTGTTTCATGGAAAGACTTCGGGCACACCAGGACCTTGTATAGTTTCTGAGAACTGAAAACTACAACATGATAGGTCATGAAAGTACCGCTCCATAGCGATAGGGCACTAGATTTTTATCTAGACCAAGGATAGACTAAAAGGAACAAGGACCAAGTTTAGACTAAATTGGTTATCCGTAATTTATCTTAGAGGGAATTAAATTCAAGTGTTAAATGCAGTATGTCTTTGTCACCTCGTCTAAAACTCCGCAAAGTGGTATGAACACCGTCAAAGTAGAAGCTAAAATTAGAAAATATCTGGTCCAACAAGATGCATACGTGGTGCCATTTTTCGTCTTTAAGATCAAGCGTCGGGTACCTGATCATGAAATCACAGTTAAAAAAGTAAAAACCAGCCGTAAGGGGACAATGCCAAGGCAAAACAAAGCAAGACAAAACAAGGGAAGGTTCAAAGTAGGGTCTCTACTGTTACTACTATTGCAACAACAACAAAAACAACAATATTTTTTTTTGTACCTCTAATCAAAAGAAAATATTTATGTGTAATGTATTTCACGGAAAATAGGTAAGAGGATACCCAATTAATTATATGAAACTCTTAATTATATGAAACTAAACTGGTTAGGTGCCCGTTAAATAATACAATTATTAAAAAATAGCACTCTCTTTTGGGAGGGATGTATCAGTTTTGCAAGACATTGAGGCGATTTAACTTTGATAGCTTCGCTAAGAGTTGTCATTTGTTTAATTTCATACAGATAGGCTCGTGTGCGATAAAGCCCCACAAAAGCATTACTTGTTATCTCAGTGGAGATGTGTAGGGATGCGAAAGAAAAAAAAATTAATTTATCGTCCTTGGACCTATGCACAAAACTAAAATTGTGGATAAGAGATAAGAAGATTGAGTTTTTATTGAAGTCCAGGAGAGTCGTGAGGCTGAATTATTGTCGAGCTTTCTTCTTTGCAGGGATACAGGAGGCTCATGGGTAAGAGGGATGAAGCTGCTGTCCGCTGACCAACACTCCAAAGTCCTCGTCCTCCATTACGAAGGACACAGTCACTGAATTGATGCTTTAATGATTTTTACAGTTCATATCTTCAAGTAGGTCGTATTAATGGTCTTGTCAAGTATAGATATGAGGCCAAAAAACGCAGCATGTGAGAAATCATATATTTTCACGCGGAACGTGTCACCAAAAACGCTTGCCGTGTGCAACAAAGAACCGCGTGAAGACACACCACCACTTTTAACCTATATCCTCACAGTTTACCAGAACATTTTACTTACAATTGACCGTCGTCGTCCATGTAGATATTTATGGTCACTCCTTGAGTATCCAATAGGAACGCCTTTTCGTAAACAGAATTGGAATAAGACAACAAGGTCACTGTTGATCCAGAGGCATATATCAGCTGGACCCAAAAGCAAACCGAGAATGACGTCATATCCGGTATGGCAATATCATCTGTTATTGCATAACCATCCGAATTTTTTGGAAAATAAAGGTCGAAAGATTCTGTGAAAATCGTAGAGAAACAATGTTAAGTTACTGAGTGCTAAAGAACCTCATCACAATTAGCTGCACAAACTACAGTTAACAGAGGTGAATAGTATTGAAGCCCAGCAAACTTCAAAGGAGCAAACAAAGTCGACAAGATTTATGTTGGAAGGTTCACAATCGTGCACAATCTTTCGCTTTGTACCTATGCAGCACTGTGCATAAATCATGCAACCCGAAACGTTTCCATTGGTTAGTTCCTCACTCAATGGTAAATAAAAAAAAAAACGGAAAACAAAAACAAAAACATACAACGAAGAACTCTGACAACCATTCTCCTTTATAAAATAACTGAGCTACTACGCGCGCTCTGATTGGTCGATAGGTGTGTTTAGATGAGAGTATGTAAACACGGTTGTGACGTTTTAGATTCGCGCGTATTTTTGAGAATTATTTTATAAAAGCAATAGAGCAGTTTTTTCGTGTTTACATGGCCTCATCTAAACACTCGGGGGTTGGGAGAATTCTTGAAAGTTGTACAAACCCTCGACTACGTCTCGGGTTTGCATAACTGTCTCGAATTCTGCGAACTCTACTCGTGTTTAGATGAGGCTATGTAAACACGGAAAAAGTGTTCTATTGCTTAAATATAATTACGCACAAACCAGGCTTTAGATTTTCTAGAAGTTAGAAACTGATGCTTGAAACAACCCCAGAATTTCTTTAAGCCAAGAAAGTTCTGAAAGTGTAGTGACGCATGTTGTACGTCACCATATTCTTTATTCCGTAATCATTTGTCTGCTTGTGAAGAAATTGTAAGTTTACCACTCTTTGGAAACATTCTGTGGCAGGACAACTCAACCTAACTGTCCAACTTACCTGAACCGCTGATCATAGATAGCGCAGCTGTGTCTATATTCAAGCCAATCACTAACAGGAACAGATACAGGGCTGACATCATCTTACCTAACATTCAGTCTGAGTGATACCAAATGCAAGTTATCATTAGTAGGAAAATCAGATATTTCATTAGAACTTGGTCCATTAACACTCGTCAAAATTTTTGGCCCGAAATGTAGCAGCTCTCGTAAGCTTGTACTGATTCCATTTGTCGTCATAGCGTAGCAACTATTATTGTTTCGGGGCTAGGGGGATTATTGTCTCTGTTGATTGATTCTTCTCTCAAAGGGTATCGAGCCATTCATGTGAGATCTTGGGAGAGCTGTTATCTGACCTTCTGTGGCATGAGCTGGATTAAAACTGTTACGTGAACCCACCACTTTTAAATTACATATTTGCCAGTATGCTTGTGTAAATTAGAATACGCTATGGGATCAATATTAGGAAGTTTAAGAAAACCACGACGGCAACGGCAACGGGAATGTCGTTAAACAAAAGACTTAATTAGGAGAACAATGGCTGTGCACGTGCGTTATAATTCTTGGCACATTTCTTAACCGTCCTCGGCAAAACAACAACGTGAAATGACCAAATTCTACGTTGTCTAGAGAACGTAAACCACGACGGCTAGTTTTTTTAAAATTTTAGTTCAAGTTTATCGCTCTGTCCCAGATTCAGTTTGGTGAAAGTTTTGTCAGTGATAAACAAAGTAAATGACTTTAGAGTCTCGCGAGATTCGTAGGTAAAATGTAAAGTCATTTTTTAATCGACGTTATCCTCGGCGTCGCGGTCGTGGCTACTTTAACTCCCTAACTTAAGAAAGGAACGGCAGCAAGACACAAGATATTCATGATAATTAAAACTAAAACTCAAAGCTGAATCTCTATTTATCCTGTCAGTTGTATTCGGATTACAACTTTCAGAAAAATAAGAACCAAAAGAAACTGCCGTTCGCGGTGGGCAACTGGACATACCTTGGACAAGAAATTTTCAGCTTTTATAGAGAAGATTATAATTTTCTCTTGTTTTCATTTTCTCGTTAAAAAGAACGCAAATATTTAGCAACGTTTGCATATATTTTAATATATGAAATTGATTAAAATAAATTTTAATTTTGGTAAAATACACATCATTCATGGCTTAAAAAAATCGAAATCTAGTGGCAAGTTTCAGTGTATTACAACACAAAATGAGTAAAAAACAAGAATTATTTTTACAGCTTGCTATAGTTACATAAACTTAAATGATCGTTTTCCTATTGGAAGAAGAAGACTGATTGAAATCAATGAGCAAATACATCTGTTTTGTTAATCCAATTCTAATTTCTCGTTTCGCAAATGACATCCAGTGGACAGTTCTTTGGAAGAAAGGGGAAATTAAATTTGCTGAGAGAATTAATGAACCCGAACACGGATTTTTCAGATTGTTTTTAAGCATCCTCAACTATGAAATCGAATCGAAGACTGCGTGCTTGAATTCTTGATGCGCTGCGCTCGGGCACTGTTGAATTACGCTTTTGAACTAACACCTTTCCTCGGGCACCCACTACATCTACGCCCGAAGCATGGGCACTATCATATAAAATAGATTTAACAAACTCTAGACCCTGGCAAAATAGTCGTAATTATAACACAGACGCGGTTGAAAAGTGCAAACAAACAAATAATTTATCATATAGCTTGTTATACCTTCCTCCAACATGTAGGGGTAATTTTCGATGGAAAATATCGCTGTTGCCCTCTAATCTGAACTCAGTTAAAGGTTTAATTTCCTTTCATGGTAACCGGCTCGCAGTGAGAGTCTCTTCCGCAGAAAACAACTTGAAACTCGTTTGCTCTGTTGAGTCAAGGATGTCTTTCCCAAACTGATAATAGTTATTTCAAGTACAGAAGCAACCTGCCTTCTACGCATTGAGTGTGTCAGTTAAATTAAAACCATGAGGAAAGATGACCAAACATTACGTCAATCCTGTTAATAAAATGGCTCAAAAAAATCTACGCGATATGTCTTACAAAGTAAACACAGCCGGTCATTACAGGCGTAAAATCCGCTGCATTTGTTGAATAACCTAATATTTATCATGTTTTTTTTTCTTTGTCTTTAAATGCTAGGCAATTCTAAAAGTTTGTATCAGGTTGTGCTAAATACAATCAATTTATTTCGTCGCGTTATAGCAGTCACAATAAAACTACTGGAGCACTAGGCGCTAGTATTACATTCTATTCCCGCGGCTATTATTTTTTCTTTTTATGAAAATAGCAAATATAATTTAAAGTTAGATCATTGAAAGTGTATCTGGTCCTGCCGGAAATTCTGTTGAGCATTGCCGTATTCTTATTACGTCCTATCACTGCACTCACATTGCCGGCTTTTCAATTCAGTAATTCTGAAACTTAAATCGAAAAAGTCATGCCGATCGAAGTAAGCGAGAGAAGAACGTCGAGAGAAGTTTTTTCTCCTCTGGAACAAGGGTGAATAACAGTATAAGGTGATACAGGACTTTATGTTTATAATACAATTAATCATGGCAGCCAATTTTCTTTTCTCCTTATAAATTGCATTGAAAAAAATAATTAAAAAAAAAAAAAACAGACAAACAAACTAATACTCTTAGCTGTGCGACGTATTGCATACAGTGAAACTGTAAAACATTACTTAGATGTACAGACAAGGCGAAAATTGAATCAAGCCCCTGTCACTGGATATCTACAGTGTGGGGGCACTACAGAAGCAAGTAAACTTTTATCTTTTGTTGCTGTCTGCTATACTCTGTTCTTATAATTGAGTTCATAGTTTGGGCGTCACAGGTGTAAAATTAAGAGAATTTCTCAAGTAAATGTCAAGCTGTTTGTTAAATGTTCGCCGGCGTTGGCGTCCAATTTGAATCTTTACAATAAATTACTGAGACCTGAAGAGCATTTCCTGGCAGTTAGCAGCCCAAACATCAGTGTCATTCTCTTCGTCTCCACGTACGAAGGACTAGTCAAATTCGAACACTCCCTCTAACGGGGATACGAAACTAAAAAAACAAGTCAGTGTTTTCCGTGAAATCCCTTTAGTCTAGAGCTTTATACCTGTATTCGAAGAGTACAGGCAAGCGCGGACTGTGTAGACACCTTGTATTTTGTTCATCGATCGCGCTTTTCCAGGTTCCCCTCTCATCCAATCGCACTTAGCCTTTTCCCACAGTTTTATGCAAGTGAAAACCGCATGTATGGCACTCCACTATACCACTGGTGGATTTTCTCTCTTAATTCTCGTCCCACAGAGTTGATCATTTCATTTGCATGTAACTATGGTTTCTATATACAGTTCACAAGCAAGACAAAACTCACTGATTAACATATGCCTGTAAGTTTTTACCACTACCGAGCCTTCACGGTACATCGCCTCCAGTTAACGTCAAGATTTACTGAATACATGCAGCAGCTCACTGTGTAGAAGCCTGGGGCGAGATTTCAGGGGAATAGCTCTTGCAGGGGAATACCATGTATCATTAAAAGGAGATTAATTTCATTTACATTTGAAAAGACTCCACACACATTAGCCTCAGTTGCAAGCTAGTTCCAGTGCAATGCTGGGAATACAAATATGGGAATACAAATATGGGCTATTAACAGGAAAAGAGTACACTGGACAAAATAACTAAACACTAGCAAAGTATTTCAATATGCATCACCATCACTGTTTATTTGCCACACCATAAATAAAACACATGTACATATACAATAAAAACAAAAAAAATCAGACAGGGCGAGGAGACCTTAAAAGTATTGAAAGTAAGTGATTGTCCCCATAAACTCAATTACTATACATTGATCTAACTATCTCTTTTCTGATTGGCCGAAAGCGTACAGTGAATTTTCGAAATCAGAGCGTGTCACGTCATAACTGCAGATCATACAATAATCATGTCAAGAACACTCAATGTCATGGGTAATCATGTCATGTATGACTGCGGTGCATGATTTCTAAGGGTAATCATGTCAAGTTCACACGCTTTGTGTTTCTTGCTGTTAATGAAGAAGCAAAAACACAACTTCCATTATTTTTTTCGTTCATTGTATGATAAAACGATTATTACATTCGGTTTTTGTGATATCCAGAATAATCAAGGTCTCGCTAAGGGTTATCAACCTCAGCCTTTGGCTTCGGCTGATAACTCCTACCTCGACCTTGATTATTCTGTATAGCACAACAACCTCATCCAATAATTGTTTATTATTATACATTGAACTCACTATCTCTTTTCTGATTAGCTGAAAGCGTACAGCGAATTTTCGAAATCAGTGCCTATCAGTATGATGCCATCTAGCTGCAGGTTGTACAATAATCGTGTCAAGGATACTCAAGGTCATGGGTATTTGTGTCATGTATGACCGCAGTGCATGATTTCTAAGGGTAATCATGTCAAGTTTGCACACTTTGTGTTGCTTGCTGTCAGTGAAGAACCAAAAACATGACTTCCATTTTTTTTCCGTTCAATGTATAATAAAACAATTATTAGATGTGGTTTTTGTGATATCCAGAATAATCAAGGTCTTGGTAAGAGTTATTGGCCTCAGCCTTTGGCTGATATCCCCTACCTCGACTGTGATTATTCTTGATATCACAAAAACCATCATCCAATAATTGGTTTATTATAAAAATAAATTAAATCAGATGAACATTCCTTGCATGTAAACAAACTACTGTGTGGAAAGATTGTGTAATTCAAGTGATATGGATTTTTCAACAAACTAGAATTGATATCAAAATGACAAAAACTCACATAATTTTTACTGTCAAACCTAGTTAATGAAGAATTGTTACTGAAACTACATGTATCACACCAGAAACAATATCCCAAACTTGGTCTCAACTACCAAGACTATGAGCAACCTCTGTCCAGCACAGGTATTTCTCAACATAACATGATGAGTCGCATAAGTGAGCAGGAAAGCCTTGTAATTAAATTAATAAGAACTGAGTAAATGTAGATGCATTTCCATTTGTCTATTTTGGTAACATTGCAGACTTGTGAAAAACAGAGATTGCTTGTGGTCTGAAGCTGTATTGTCAGTGGACACCACTCTCATCAGGCATACCAGGTACTGTACTAGTAGTTGTGTTCCTGAGGTGTCTTGAGTGATTATTGTACAATTTGTTTTCCAATTACTTACATTACTTAGCTATTGACATTTCTCTTGTAACCCCATCTTAAGTTCAGAAGGTTTAAACACACCATATTCTGTGACAATGCCCCCTGTAATCAGTTCTGCTGGAGTGACATCGAAAGCTGGATTCCAGCAACCAATCGCAGGAGCTGCAATGCGAACTCCAGCTACAGTTGTCAGTTCTTCTGCTGGTCTCTCCTCAATCACAATGTCACTGCCCTTCTCCAGAGTCAAGTCTACAGTAGTGGATGGTGCGGCAATATAAAATGGAACCCCATGGTGTTTTGCTGGAAAGTTGGACGAGAAAAGGCTGAAAATTAACTTCGAGTAATCATTGAAAACAAGTGGGGAGAGGCAATGTGAGGGTAAAACAACAAAGTGAGGGCTCAAACCCTGACCAATCAAACCAGAGTTCAGCTTCCATACCATTACACCACCATATTGCTGACTACCTTTGTAATATGACATTAAAAAGTGAAATTTAGAGAAGCCTTCTGTTATTCTTAATAGCAACCTATTGCACACCAAAATCTGGCCACAGGTAATGGGTAGCTCTTTGTCTAAACAGCCAATCACTCAGCCACCAAAGTTTCAAGATGTATAATTTTTCTTTGTGACAAGATGAGGATAATCAGAGCCTTTGCTACTTCTTACTTTCAGAAACAGAAGACTAAAATTGTATGGCATCTCATTTGAACATTCAGATTGAAGTTTGATTGACACAATCTATTGGCCTCTTTAGCTTAATGGCTCATGTCAAATTCCAAAACTCGGAACCAACCAGAATTTATTGTGATGAGAATCAAAAAATGTAACAGCATTAATAACAAATACATTATTATCTGTGTAATACACTTACCAGCTATAGCTATCTGATATGTTCCAACCTTATTTGCTGTGTCACCATTGGCAACCACTCTGTCAGCACCCACAACAACTGCATGTATTCCTTTTGTTTTCATGAGCACTGATACCATTGAGTCTGCTACTAAAGTAGCAGGAATCTTGTCAGAAACTAGCTCATATGCTGTTAATCTTGATCCTTGGTTGTACGGCCTGGTTTCAGTGCAGAACACATGATCAAGATGATTTTGTTCTGATAAGCTTCTAATTACCCCTAAAGCAGTTCCATAGCCAGCTGTTGCTAGTGAGCCAGTGTTACAGTGAGTGAGGACCTTCAGCTTATCAACACCTACTTGTTGCAACACATGTGCTGCTCCAAACCTCCCGATAGCTTTGTTATCACTTATATCTTTTGCCAGCATCCCTTCAATTTCTTTAATCAATTCCATCTTGACAGTTTCAGTATCCTTTGCTTTTAATGATAAATCCTTGACAAATGATATCAGATGCTTGGAGGCTTCCATAATGTTCACAGCTGTCGGTCTTGCCTTCATAAGATACTGTAATTTCTCTGTTACAAAGTTTTCCAGTTCCTCTGTAGAACTAAATGACCTTGGTAGAATCTCTATCGCTAAACTCAATGAGCCAACAATTGCAATTGCAGGAGCTCCACGAACCTACAGGTAGAACGATAACACTTCTCATGAGGAACACAATCAAAAAGCGCAATTCTAATACACTGAATGCCATATTCATTAAAGCCTTTATTCTCACCATTTCATTGATATTACATGTATGAGGACAAATGTTCAGTGTACAATATACACACTGTTTATGGAACCACCAAATGTTTGCACGGATTATTGAACTGGCCTGTTCTCTCAAGATGGTTGGATGCTGGCCAAGTTCTGGGTTTTTTTGTATGTTTATGGACTGAAAACAAGAATATCAAGCTAATATCCAGCCTTCTTGACCAAACAAACTTGGTCCATAAAGGTTTATGAATTCATATAGAACACCATTTTCTTGTGGTAAACAGTGGGTTATACTGAGTATTAGCAAGATAGCACCACCACCAACCACCAGAACAAGAATTGGGTCATCTTGTCCACTCCTGAAGCATGCCAGCTACAGTATTCTAATAGTCTATTATATATTACGCCCTCACACACTCACAACCCAAGGAGGTGAGAAGGTGGAAGGAGTTCTTATTTGATATGCAAAGCAGAAAGCAGTCGCATTATTCAGTGTGCAAACTAATTTAAAAATCTTAGTATGTAACAACATCCTTAAACCTAAAACAGAAAATGAAAAGAAAAGCAAGAAGAAAACATACTTAAACCGAACATTCAATTCACTAGCCTGCATAGGAAGCATTCCAATATGATCTAAGAGGTTTCCACATTCTGGCTCCATAAAATTGGGATGAGAGTAAAAAAAAGAGGAGGGTGGGGGGGGGGGGGCAAATTAATATTCCTCCTTTCTCCTCCTATAATAATTATCATTATTGCTTGATCAAAATTTTCCTATGGCCAGAATATGAAAGTCTTTGTTCCCATGGAAATGCTTCCTACGCACACCATCAATTCACTTTTCACAACTTATGCCTTCTGGCCAACACAATACAATTTTAATGGGAGTGTCCTGATTAGTCTGCCTCCGGGCTGACTAGAAGTTTTAGACACTTAAATAAAGTTTGTTGATTGATTGATTGAATGTTAATCAATTTATGATAAATTCAGAAGATACAAAATGTAACCTAAAGACATGCAACTTATATAAAGTACATGTACAGCAAATCTATCTTATTAAAGTTCTAAAGAACTTGCCAAACCAAAGCCGTCTTTACTGATCATGATCAGCATTTGTTCAACATAATATCAATAACAAACTTTTCTTCATGATCAGTAAGTTCCTTATAGCTCTGTTCTAAATCCACTGGTATACACTCTTTGTTACAAGCATTATCTCTTGACAACAGAGAGTAGCAAGAGCTTTTTCTTCTTGGAATATATGGCTCAACCACAGTTTTCACTGATCGTCTTACATGGCTTACAAACTTTTTGTCCTCTCGAACAGAATGGGGAGGTACACCTGTGTTAACCATCTCTGGAATTAACTGAGATAATATAGAGTCTCCAACAAAGTTTTCTGAATTGTTTCTTTGCTCCTCAGTAGCATTGTTACATGTCAAAAAGTGATGTCTGCTTTTACCTGGCTTGTTGTTGCTCACACTTCCACTTTCATTGCTTGGAGTACAAACTGGCCTTCTGAATTTTGATTCAACTTCAGAAGAAGATTTTTGTCCCCTGAACCCAGAGGATACAAACAACCTTGGTCGATACACAGCAAAATAACTTCCTCGAAGTTTACGTGGAATTGCAGAAGTCTGTTTGTAACTCCTTGCTTTGCACATGAATAACAAAATGTTTGAGAGCTTTGTGGACAAATATTGCTCGAACCCATAACTAAATATAATTATTACCAGTTGCTGCCGAGTTGAATTTCAATTAATATTATATTCTGATACGTGGAGGATATTTCTGTAACTAGTTTCGTAAACCCAAGAGCACTGCAGTAGCAATTTATGAACCGAAACGTTTTGGAACGTACCAAAAACGTTTCAAAACGTTCCTAAGTTCTGCAAACATCAGCAGGGTGACACGTGGAACAATGAAATTTGTTTTTTATTTATATGCCTCTGCACATTAAATAGTAGCAAAAGCAGTTAAACCTTTTTAAGTTCTATGTCAGCTAACTTCGGCATTTATTTGAAAATCACAGAAGACGCTAGCGCTATTCTAACAAATTTAAGCTTAAGCTTAATTATTCAGCAAGGCGCCGCGGGTAGTATTAAGCTAACTTCGCGCTTCGCTTACCTTCATTGTCTTTATCGCTTGCCAGCCATCTTCGACGCCTCTTATTTCCTCGTAAACTGACTTGTGAGGCAGGACAAGTTGGTTTAAGATTTCAAGATGTCCACGTTGGTACTTTATCGCTAAAAGTGACATTGTTAGCAAAAAACAGTAGAAAGAGTTTGTTGGCGTACGACTGCCGTTGCCTCGATTTGATGATGACGCGTGTTAATTTAACCCCTCCCTGGAGATAAAATCAGATCTCTCCTTGGCCTCCCGAAAAGTTATAGCACCCGGAACCCAAGCGCTTTTTCTTTTCTTTCTTTCTTTTTTCTTTCTTTTTTTTTTTTTTTTTTCACATATTGGTCAGGAGCTCATTATCATTGATTAGCTCCTGTATTGGTAATATCAACAGAGGTTCCCTTCATAAAAGAAGTTTCAGGCGTATACACCTCTCTATTTTTAGATACAGCATAATTAATGGAGGGGACCCTCCATTAACTATGGATGCAGATAAGAGATTAACCAAAAGTGGCTTTGCGGGCCCGAAAAGTTCCCGGGACTTTCGAGAAACGGGCCCCAGGCTTAGTCTCATGCACTGGCGCCCTTTTGTTTTCGTCCAGTCCCTTAGTTTCCCAAACTGTTAGAAGACAACAAGGGACTATGATTATAGATCATAGTCTCAGTCTTGAAGTCAAATAAAAGTCCTCAAATTAATGTCCCGGACCATTGCATTCGCTGCTTTCCGGGAGCCGTTCATAGAGTCGTTATTGTAAGACTGGAAAAACGCGTATCATTTGTCTACATGTGGAGTACACACACTACTTTGTAGAAAATAAAAGTGTTCTAAATCAAATGCCGCCAAAGAAATCACCCTTTGTACAATTTATATCTGTATACAACAAGTTGTTATGTGATCACGTTCATTTCATCTGGTTGTATGATATACCGACTCTTTTCAAGCGTTACATAGTACAAAGGGAAGCGCTTGATGCAGTTGCAATCTCAGTTTTAAAAAGCAATTTCAAATTAAATCCGAAAAAAGGATTTTGGGGCTTCAACGGGATTCGCACCCGTGACAACCCGAGTAGAAAGACAGTACTTTTAATACAGTTCCTTGAGAGAAGTATCAGATCTCATTCACTTCTTTCTCGATAACAATTCAAGTTACCATCTATTACCCTTATTTTTTAAATTATTTATGATGTTCTGGCCTTGTAAATACACTAGAAGTTGTTAATGATTTTTGGGTGGAAAAACAGCAGTTTTCATACGGCCCTTAAGGTCACAGAAAGGGAAACCAGTGCGGAAATAATCCTTCAAATCCAAGGTTAAAAGCAGTTAATGGTTACCTAACGTTGGTCAGTATATAACCGATTATTCAGGTCAGTTTAAGCCACTAAATGTTGTCTCATGATAGATAGAAACTTTATTAAGAATGTCATCAACCACCTAGCTGGGGAAAAACTCCCCTACTAATACGGGGACATAACAAAAACGAGTTAAATTAGAAGAAAATACCTAAAAACAAAAAAAAAACAAAAAAAAACCTATAGCTATTTACTATAGTAAAATTTAAATCCAAGTTAAAATATGTTATGAGACTATGTACAGTGGATTTTATAATCCAATAATACATAGTTAAAAAAAAAAATTCTTTAGGAGGAGCAGAGGGGACAGCCTCTGCAGCCATCATCTAATAATGCATCAAGATTGTTGAGATTTCTGATGTTCGTCTTAAAAGTGCTGAGAGATGTGGCCTCTCTTATGCTCTTTGGTAATTTTGACCACAATTTGGGTCCTAGATATCTGATCGAGTGCTTACCATATTTCACCGAGTTAAACCTTGGATACTCTTTAAGATCTATAGTGAAGATGTTGATAACGTCACCTAACCAAACAAATCGAGGAGTTTGTTACAGTTATGATTAAAACGATGAAGGCCACCTGAAATCCATTTTGCCGGATGAAGGCGTGATAAAGAGCGATGCTTCTAAAGTTACGATCGTTTGGACTAATCATAATTTTTTCTTTCCGGTAAATGTTTGCTTTTTTTATTGCTCAATGATCTCGTTTTGTTTTCTTGCAACTCAAGCATGAATAAATTTGTGTCTTCCCATTAGCTGAATTAATACAACACATTTTTTCTAGACCATTTTACTGTTGTCAGCTCAGTGACTTGGCCTTTGAATGGCAGCGAAACTGGAGGTGACTTGTTTGTTTCAAATGAAAACAAGGCCACCTCACTGTTTTTGTTGTGTAAATCTAGTTGTTGTTATGCTAACTAGTTGGCATTTAAATGAGAAAGGCGTAATATTTGATATTGATTCAACAAATAGAAAACACACGGCATAAGTTGCAATCACGATACGTACAGTAGGCAAGTTCACTGTTGTTTTAACCTGTTTAGGATTATTTTAAGGCTCAGCCACAGCTACTGTTATCGGTCTAGCTTGCTGGCTGGTTTGCACAGTCTGGTTGTTACCAATATTATATATACCATGTACCAAACCTCCGCCGGTTTCTTGATTATCAAACCGCTCAGCCATTTGCTGCTGCCCGGTTCTTTCAGAAGTGTTTCAGAAGCGGTAAACACTGTAACACACAAAAGGTGACAGCTCAAACCATTTAGCGAATAAGAAAACAATAGGCCATTTTACGGTTGTGTGCACAGTCACCCGGCCTATAAATGTAAGTGAGGCGGTGACCTAATGCTCTTCTATTCTTATATACATAAATTGTTTTTTTCTTGTTCTCATGGTCTCCTTTTGTTTTCTTGTAACTCCTGTACCAATAAAACTTTGCGTCTTCCTTTTAGTTGAGTCAACAATCATTACGCTTATTTTTTTTTGTAAAGTAACTGTTTTCCCGATTGACTTAATGGTTTCAAGTGTTACCTTTTGTCTGCAAACAACTAATATTTACACCGGTTGACCAGTTAAACAGAGAACACTTCTTAACTCCCAGGATATCAGGTGATCATTGAGATTTCCACTCAAATTACAGTAATTTACTGACAGTATTTAGTGAGGAAGCCATATAAGCCTTAGCTGGTTTTCACACGGTTCCTCTATCCTGGTCGAATTGGAATTTGAAAATGTTGGTTTTTCAGGAGAGAAGAAAACCGGAGAACTCGGAGACTTGACCCTTGGAAAAAGAGCTAAAAAGGCGAGAGTCAACAACAAACTTATCGAACCCAGGCCTCATTGGTGGGAGGCAAGTGATCTCAACATTGCTCCATCCCTGCTCCCCAGAAGGCGGATTTAATCTACAAGCAACGGAGGTTTGAAAAAAAAAAAGAAAATATATCTAACGAACCCATAACGCAGATTGTACAAACCTCCGCTACTATTATGTGAAAGTGTAAATTTTGCGGTTGCCACTTATGAATCAATAGTCACTTTATGATTAAAAATATAACGATTCATCGGTTTAGAAGGCCAGCACGGTCGTCCTTAGTTCTTTAAAAGTTGTCTGCGAAGACATTTTTTAATGCACGGGGCTCCACAGAGACCCGTCTTTAATTAACAAGTAATGAAGGTTAGGTAAAAATAAGAAATAACTGACAAGAACGAAGGTGAAAAACCAGATTGTGCGAACAAATCAGCGTGTTGGGATACATTAGCCATGTGAAGGGGAATTAATCAACATGACACGAGCGTGGGACAAAGAAAAATTCTGAGTCCCCGACAGGAATCGAACCCATGACCTCTCGAACACCGGGCGGGTGCTCTATCCACTGAGCTACGAGAACTCATGGAGAGCGAAGTCATTTAACTGAGTTCATACATGACAGGTGTCCTGCATACTGCTAGGATCAACGCTATCGAAGTCATCGTGAGTAGTGATAAATTAATAAAAATGGTGAATTTTAAGCTCGGTAATGAAATGTGAAGGGGAATTAATCAACATGACACGAGCGTGGGACAAAGAAAAATTCTGAGTCCCCGACAGGAGGTCGTTTTAAGTCTTTACTTTCCACGTCTTCCACTACTACCCCATCTTCTACTCTTCCTTCAACTTCTACTTCTACTCTTCTCTTCTCTGATCTTCTCTTACTCTTACTTTACAATGCATTCACTTTTATGCTAACTGACTCTAGCTACGCTCGGGACTCAAGCACAAGACAATTAAAGTACTCGGACGTAAATCTTAAACGAACGCAGCTGACTTGATAACGCAAGCAGGCTGGGATTAACCAATTAGCAACAGCTAACCTTGGATCTAGTAAGCGGAGTTAGAAGCCAAGGTTGCAAGAACGACACAAACATGTACACATGTAACCGTCGAAACACAAAGTTCTAGAATAAAACGTTTCCCAGCTCAACAGAAGGGGTGTGCAAGAATTGAGTGTTCCACGTATGTGAGTTAATCTTGGCTTGCCAAAACTAACTTTCTTAAAAGCATGATTTCTAAATATTTGGCTCCAAAACAATTGAATGGTTTCAAATGATCAGGTTTTGTTTTCTTGAACTACAGATATAAATACAACTTTGTGTCTTCCATTAGTTGAATCAACAACAAGTTGTATCAATTTTCCTGGTGCGAAAATGCTTTTCTTTTGTAAGAACCGTGTTCTTTAGTTATTCAAATGATCTCGTTTTGTTTCCTTACCACTCAAGTGCAAATATAGCTTTGCATCTTCACATTAGTTGGATCAATAATATGTTGAATCAATGTTATACTTAGTAATTTTCGTTAAAGTAAATGGTTTTCCTATTTACTTTTAACACTCGACTTTGCCTCAGCAGGTTTACGTAGATATTAAATGCACTAATCAGACCATTTTTGTGAAAGAACTAAAATGACAGCCAGCGACAAATGACATTCAATTCTCCACGAAAAGCTATATAATTTGCAAATTATAGAGGCTTGGTTTAAACCGAAGACGAACGCCGACGAAGAAGAAAGAAGAAAGACGGAAGGAAAGAAAATTACAATACCGTAAGTTTTGGTAAGAATTAATCTCAAGGGATACCCGATGTTTACCATGCCAAACAAGTAGAAGAAAGTGGTTTCTTTCTCTTTCGTTACAATGAAAGCTGAAAGCAAAAAAAAAAAAAAAAGAAAAGAAAAGAGAAACGTTATCGTCAAGAAAACCATAAATGAAGGTTTTGAAGGCGAAGAGGAAACTTTATTTGGTAAACACTTGTTTTGTTTGATTTCTCACAGTTTTTCCCGCGGGAAGGTTTTTCTCTTATTAGGGATTCTTGTACCTTTGGACTTCGAGGAGTTTTCCACCTCTTTAATTCAACCTCAGTAGCATCTAATGGAGGAAATATATGATTGCAGACTTTCTCTTCTGTGTTCTCTTCTAATGAGTCAAGTTTCCGCACCGGTCTGTTGATCATTCTTCTCTTGGTATGCAGCCTGAGTGTACGAATTCTTTCATGTTTCCTGTAAAACGTTTTTGTAATGATCTTCCGAACTTCCGTTTTCCTTTGGGAACATTGTCCTCCGGTATGCAAAGCGACATCCTTTTCCTTCAATGGGATTTCTTCCCTAGCCCAGTTGTATCGGACATTAAATTCTGGCCAACGAGCCACTGAGGCTCAAAGGGATGAGAAACCTTTCGCAGTCCAAACGAACTCAAAGCGTTGAGTTAAAAATGACTATTCGTCATTCGTGGTGCAGAATGTACAAGTGAATTTGTAGTGATGGTTCTGATAGTCGGTCGAGGTAGAGCTTTGAAGTTGAAGAAGGATTTCGCACAATGTAAAATAACAAAAGCAAAAATGTTCAGTGTGAAGCCGGAAGCGGTATGCTTGTTGTTTCGAAAGGGCCTGCACACAAACGAGCAGTATAGCAAACCGCTGCTATGATCCCTGGGATATGTTGAGTAACTTAAATCGAACTAACTTTTAACTTCAGCTCATTCGAACGTAGTTATTCAACTTATTGATTTATCAATTATCAATAAGAATTTTGACTACCGCTTAATTTGCCCGGGAACGTTTAAAATATAACAATATCAGCTTCGACCCCCGCGGCAATTTTTAAAACAGAACGAAATGTGGTAAATTATGCAGCGCTGCCTGAGTGCGCCCTTTTTCCATTCAGAGTGCTCAGGTCTCTTGCAATTGATCGACAGCAGATCCTGTCACTAACCCGATTTGGACTTGGTAATCTCGAGTTCAGTTACTTGGTCGCACTCGCCCCAGTAAAAGAATATCTGATAATCAGTGTGTTTTGGATTCAACAGCCGACTCGCTCGTGCGTGGAAGGTGCTTCCAGGCTACGAAGCTATGCAATTGCAAACAATATCAAACTCTGGTTATGAGGGAATTATAAAACGCTCTACAGAATTATCATCTTATTATTTTAAGATAATTTATGCAATTAAAATTCACGCAGAGTTGCACAAACTAAGCACTTATGCGAATAGCAAAGTCATGATGTTGGTGTTCTTGATATTCTTGACTTTTTGTTTCATTTTTAGAAAAAAACAAATGTAGTAAATTATGCGATATAATGTTCGGCGCGCTCTTTTCGTTCCAGAATGTTTGCTTGTTGGCTGCGGTTTCTGCAATGTTGTCTTTTTGCTTAATTGACCTCTAACTGTTTTATCGTCAATTGTTTTATGCTGTAGTCAGTTCAAACACATGTTCTGGCTGTGCTCGTGACCACAACATTCCAATGTCTTCAATGTTCAGACAGACATTATGGATCTAAACCAGATTTATTTGTCAAGTTTGTTTTGTTATTTTCCGTTCGTCGTCTTCGTTTATTGTTCCCAACTTAACCTATAACATGTCCTGGAGGGAAGGGGGGTACTCCCCAAAGTTTTTGTTGGGGGTTTGACGCCCGAACACTATATTTCAGACCAAAATGTTATTTTCCACACCATATTTCAGACCTGAGCCAAAAATCAATGCCCCATTTCAGACCTCTAAAATTAGTACACAACTCTAACATATGACCACAGCTAACCAGAAATCGTTCTATTTGCATAAAAATTTGAGGAGAGCTACAAACTTGCCCATGTTGATGAGGAGAAAAACACCCAATGCCAAGCCAGAGTGAAAAACATATCCTATTTCAGACCAAGACGGTCAAATCTATGCTCCTTTTCAAACCAAAGCAGCTCAAAAACCATAGCCTTTGGAGCCGCACGTACCTTTATAGCCTGTATAACCCATATATGGGAGTACCCCCTCCCCCGGGAAACATGTCAGCGAGTTTTAACTTCAATTAACGATATTGAGATGACTTTGATATGACTTTATTATCGAGTTTCGCGTGGTTGGTGATCTTTTGTTCTTTGTTGACAAATATGAAATAAAATCGCAATCGTTATTGTTGGCGAAGCAAGACTTTGGAAAGCAGTGGCGAACATTGCAAATAATCCTAGACTGAACTTGTTTAAATTTTGTTGGAGAATAATTCCAAACGAATTTTATCAGAAACGTTCAGTCAGACTTGCTCACAGTACTAAAAGCTCAGGTGAAATTCAACATATAAAATTTTGGCGCTATCTCTCATTTCAGAACAGCAATTAGATTCATGCGGTAAATTCTTATATTAGCATGATTAATGACACATCCATGCAAGTGTCAGGACGCAATTTTCTTGCCCGAGTGATCGCAGTTATAAAAGAAAGCGCGCTAACATAGATTAATCATTCAACTTAATGGCCTTCACTTCACAGCCTCGCTGATCCAAGGTGTTTGAAGTCGCGATCTTCTTATATGTGAGTTTCTAAGTTCTATACTATTCTCAGTGTTATGTGGGTGTTAATGACCTTAAAACCTGCTAGTTTTCTGAACTATCGCGTCAGTTTTTTCGATGATTGCTGATTATCCGATTTAATACATTTGACTTCATCTATAGCGTTTGCGCCCTTGAATCGCTTGAAATCATTCCAATTTGTTCTTCATAATTAATTTTATGATAACTGTACCCGCGCGCGCCATTACTATGAGGATTGTGGCGCTATCATTATCACAATATGTATACCTTTAATCCATGAACCTTACTCGCGAAAATTGCACTTCTATTTTCACCCAAGTCCAGGCTGGCCTGAGAGGGAGAGAGAGGACCATAGAGATTTTCTGCGCGTTCAGGCTGCACAGAGCAGCTAAAGCGTGCAAAATAGTTTCATACGCTTGCCCTAAATGATTCGAGAATCTCGAGCGGGGGTACATTCTATCTTTCTTGATTATCATTTTAATTGGCGACTTGAGTCGTTGAGCCGAGCATAAGAGATTTCTTTCTTCCGACCACTGAGGGCACCATCTCGTCTAAGTGATTAGGTAATTCCCTCGTCCGAATAATTACTGGTTT